CTGGACAAAACGTATCACGTGGTGCTCAAAATGCGTGACGGTGTGGGCTCCGTGTACGTTGACGGGACTCCCCTTTGGAATATGAGTCTGAGAAATTCGTTCAATGAAGGGCTGGACGCGGTCTCACACTTTTACTTTGGCGCGTACGATGAGCAGTTGAGCAGCGGAAAAATCCATGCGACGGTGGCGAACGTCTTTCTGTACAACCGCCCGTTGAATGAAACTGAGATTGGCGCCCTCAACGCGAATAAAGTCACCATTCCACCTCCGGAAAGGAAGTCGGCGAAAGCGGCAGCTACTTCCCCGTCCGTTGAATCTGCCAACGATAAGGTGAACACAAATACACAGCCAACTGTGCCACCGCCTGCTACTGCCGGACCACAGCAGACGGACCAAACAACTTTGAACGCGAGCAGTGTTCCGAGTGGTGGCGCTGCATCCACACCAGCGGAGCCGAAATCAGAAGAGCCCGAACCAGCGGAGCCCAATGCCGCGACATCCTCAGCAAGGGAGGGAACTGCAGACCAGCCGGCATCTGCCACATCTTCCGATGGACATGAAGCCGTGACATCTGTTACATCTTCAAGCGCCGCCATTACTAATGTTGGTGCTTCCTCATCTGATGATGCACAAACGGTGGGGACGGAAGGTGGAGATATGATGCAGGCAGATCAACCAACCCAATTCTCTGTGGGCACCCCCGACGCAGCAAATGCAGCAACACATAACGCTGAAGGCAAGGGACAAGAAGGGCTCCATCCACAGGTTAAGGAAGCAGAGGCGGCGACACTCAGCAGCAGCCTTTTAAATTCGTCGCAGTGGGATAACAGCGTTGCTGGCACTATGCGTGAGAGCGGACTGCTGCCGCTGCTTCTTCTGCTGGGGCTGTGGGGGTTTGCGGCTGCGTGAGGAGTGTGCGGCTGCCGTGTGGAGCACTTGTGCCCTTCCCTGCACCGACACACACACCCCTAGGAATAAAATTTTACTACACAGTGAATAACTTGTTTTTTTTTTTATTGCTTTGTTTTACATTTTTCCCTTGCTGCCCTAAGGCAACCACCATGGGCGTTTTTTTTTTTTTCGGCTTTTAATTTTTTTTCTTTTCTGTTTGGAGTATAATTTCTTATGTTTTTTTATGTTTGTTTTTAATTATTTTTGTTTGCTTTAAAAAAAAGAATTATTTCTGTTTTTTTCTTTTTTGCTCCACTCTTCCCTTCTCTTTTTGCTTTTGGGGGCGATCACTATGGACGTTTTTTTTCTACTTTTCCCTCTTTTAATTATTTCTTGCTGCACTCTTCTTGTGAAGGGTGCCGTGTGTTTCCGCCCAACTGCTCCACTCGCACACCCACCGACACGCTCATGACGACGGCCCTGTGCGCCACGCCTGCTGCACGCATGAGGAGGGGCCGCGACGAACGGCGCGCTGAGGGAGCCGTGACGTGTGGGCGTGCGACGAGGGCCTGTGGGGCGGAGCACACATTTCTTTCCCTCTTGTTTTGTTTTCTTTGCGGCCAGGGCGGGCAGACACCCGCAGCGCCACACACACACAGCCACACCCTGCCGTTTTTTTAGGATTTTTTTTTTTGCTTCGCGTGTGCATTTCACGCTCCGGCAGTCCCTTCGGGGTCGGCCTCGTGAGTATTTCTTCCCCCCTGATGTGTTTTTTTTGCTGCGCTCACTCCCCCGATGGAGAGACGCGACTACCGTCATGTCTGCGTGCTTCTCTCAGCCTCTACACACACGAGTGACTGTGCTCTGCGGGCCGCACTCACGCGCCGATGAGAGGGCTGAGGGGAGCACCAACACGCAGATGACCCCATGAAATATAAACGATGTGCGGACACATGGAGGTCAGACGGTTGAAAGACACGTAATTATTTAATTTTAAATTTGTGGGCTAAATATACAAACAGTTTGGTGGGCCACACGGTAACCGGGTGATTTTTTTTTTCCTTTTTTTAGGAGTAAGAGCAACGGAGGACGACTCCTTTCTTGCTTTTTTTTCTTTTTATATAATTAATTTGTGCGGGCTGGAAAGATAATGGTGAAAGGGGAGGTTTTTTTTTTTATTGGTAATTGCTTTAAATAAATCTTGTATGACTCGCCACTGCTTGGGCTGCGGTGCAATCGTGAGTTTGAGCAGTCATGTTATTTCTACCATGCGGCTCTGCTGTGCATTTTGTTTTTGCGTTTCTTCACATGCTCCGTTTCTTTTTTACTTCTTTACCTCGTGTTTCTGCAGGCACGCACAAGCACACGCACACAGAGTGCAAATCACAGTGGATTCGGATGGTTCTTTTGCGGTGCGTGTGGCAGCAGCGTGTGGGTGCTGCTTTTTCCCGTGGGCATGAGGCGAAGGGAGGAGAGAGGCAGCGCGCAGGGCGAGTGTCTCTTCCTGATGGTGTGGGGGCGCCGCGTTGTGACCGCATGAAGTGAGGCGCCGCGTCGTGGATGGATGAGGAATTGCTTCTGCGTGCGGCTCTTTGGGTGATTGCTTGCTCCGTGTGCGTTGTGTTTTGGCAGCGGGGCTGTGGCCGTATGCCGTTGGCCGTGGGATTGAAGTGGAGGCGGTGGCGGTGTGTCCCTTCTCTTCCCCTTCCATTGGTGGTTGATTGCTGGCGGTGTGTGCGTTTGTTGTGTGGAGGGCCGAATCCTCTCACCCGCGGACTGACGGCGCTGCGATGTTGTCTGTGTGTGTCAGAGGGCTGGTGTGGGCGATGGTCCTCCGTGCTGCCCCTTCCGGATTGTCTTTTGTCCCGCTCTCTGCGTGGGTGCTCTGCTCTGCTCTGCTCCTCACTGACCTTTCTTGTGTATTGCCGCTGTTGCTGTCTTTCTATTTCTTGCACACACACACGCTAGGAAAGCAAGCAAACGAACGCGAATCGCAACTGTGAAATTCGAAGGCTCTGAAATTTCCAACCACAGCACACACACCGCACACACACACACATATTTATATGCTCTCACGTGTTGCTGCTGTGAAGGCACCCCGCACACACAACCGTCGCCGCGTGACCGGATCCAGCGGAAGGAGGAGGGAAGGAGGAGAGAGTGAGCCGCAGAGGCCCAACATGTCCCGGCGTGTGTTTACTTCCGCGGTGCTTCCGCTCTGCTTTCTGCGGATGGGCTGCGGCCCCTGTGATGCTGTTGTGGAGAGCAATTTAAATTGTGTGATTATCTTTCACTGGAGAGGAATCAATTTCTGATTCAATGGATGCCACGAGGGTGGTCAATTGTGATTTGTTACGTGTAGCTTTTCTTTTTGGAGTGAGCGGTGTTGTTGTGGCCATTGCTGAAGCGCATTTCAAAAACAACAAGGATGGCAAATTGCGTGTTGGCATTGCTGCAAAGTCGATGGAAGTCAATGGAGGGACGTGGACGAATGGAACTGGCATGATGTTTGATTATTACGACATTAAAGTTGACCGCCTATTGAGCCCAACGACTATTATGGCTGATGGAGAAACATATGCTCTTGTCGGGGGTTATGGCGAGTCAGGGGCTCCATGGACGAAGGTGGCTGTTGATGGCTATTGGTCGTCCAGGTATGCGAGGAGCACTGTTTTGTCTGAATATGATGATAAGGATAAGAGGGAGTTTGAGTGGAATCAATAAAAGACTTCGGGAGTTTTTCTTGACAGCATTTTGAAGGATTTCAAACCCAATGCCGAACCCCACAAACAATTTCTGGGTGGTGGCGGTGCATGCATTCGGCTGGATGACGATGATTCTTATGTGCAGCCCATTCAAGCACTTACTAATGGCGGAGAGGTCGTTTCTTTGGTCATGCTCGCCAAAGGTGTAGTGTATGATAAGGAGTTTTCAAATGATAGGAGCCATGAGGGCTGCATCCAATCTGTGGCGCTTGAATGGGAGGGCAAAGGTCTCCGCATGATGACGTCGTGTGAGGACGGCAGCCGCAGGGTTTGCAGGGCGGACGGAAAGGGGGAGTCGGTGGACGGAGGCATACGACACTTTTTCAGGCGTGTGGGGCAATTCACGGACACGTACAGGGCACGGCGTGCAGGGTGGCTTCGTCAGCGCGACGATCGATGGACAGAAAGTCATCCTCGTCAGCCGGCCGGTATAATCTGGGAAGGAGGGAGAAGAAGAAACGGGTCGGCTTCACTTGTGGCTGACGGACATGCAGTGAATTCATGATGTTGGGCCGATATCCGCTGAGATTGACAAGTTTGCCGCCAGCACTCTGCTGTACGCCGCAGACAAAGCGTCATTGCGGAAATAAGCGAAGAAGGAAAAGTGAAAACTGCACTGCTCGTACGAGGTCGCTGCTGCGGAGGGAGGCAAGTACAACATTGCCTTTTTGGACGTGACGGGGAATTTGAAGGAAATGGAGAAGGTGTTGGCTGCCTGGAAGGAAAGGGACGCGTGCATTGCGAGGGAATACGGCTACGGG